TTTAACGCTCACCCCACCTCGGTTTCCCCAGCCGCACCTCGATCCAGGCCCTGTAGCTCCCAGACCACAGTCCAACCCTAGTCCATCCCCCTCGCCTCTCAGCAGCATCTCGCCATGTGTGTTCATCCAGGGGTCTAGTCTTCACCCCTCTGGGAGGCTCCAACCTGTCCGTGATCTCCGTCCATATCCGGACCTTAGGTCCAGCAGTTCACCGCCCTTCTCCCCCATACACACACGCACTTCCCACTCTCTTAGATCCACGGAGGTCTCCTCACTCACTCCCACCCCCTACTCTCTCCAGACGCCCCCTTCCTCTAGCAGCCCTCACCCCTTTGAGTTTACCAGACCTGGGGCAAATTTGAGGGACATTTCAGGGCCCTGCCCGCTAAGGCTGCCCCTCCTTGAGCATCCAGCCTCGATCTGCCCTCCCCCCAGATTTTCTGAGCACTTTTCCTCCCCGCCCCCAGGACTACAGGTATCCCTCCTTCTTAGGGGGAGGTTTGGGACCCCTCACAAATGCCCCCCCCCCCGTCCTGCTGGGTCTCTCCAGTTATTTATTTGTGTATTTATTTATTTATCTATTTATTATTTAATCTCTTGGCCTCACCCAGGGATGGTCTGGCTTCCCCAGCTGGACTGGGAGGTCAGGGAGCCAGGCATGGGGAAGGACAGCAAAGGCCATAGGGGGGTGTCGCCCCCACCCCATCCTCAACACCGGGAGTGAGGGAGAAGCCCCACCCACACCAGAGCCTGAACTCGCTGGGAAGGGGGCACGAGGATAGGAGAGGTCACCTGCCGACCCTCAGCTGGGAAGGGAGGGTCAGGAGGTCCAGACACAGGGCAGGTCCCTTCCCTCCTGCGCCTTCCACCCCCACCCCAGGCAGCCCGGAGAGAGGAGCCTCCTGGATGTTTCCTGTTTATTCCTCTTCTTGAGGGACCCCAGGTTCCAGGGACCGACTGAGCCCCGGACCCCGCTGGGGCCTCTGGCCCGCTCCCCGGGAGGAGCGCTCCCTCCCAGCCACGTCTATGCAACTCTCCCGGGCAGAGGGGCCGGGCCTACCAGCCGCCACCCAGTTGGCCGCCACTACCTCCCCCGCCGAGCTTCTGCATGCCCGGGCGAGGACCGAAGCACACACCTCCGCGCGTACGGGCCCTGACTCCCTCTGCTTTAAGCACACGCCTCTGCCCCAGCGCTCTGCGCCCAGCTGGGGGCAGGAGTCCTGGACTCTCCGACCTTCCTTCCCCGGCCCCGCCACTAAGGAGGGCGGAGGCTGAAGAAGCCCTGAAGCAGGGATACTTCTCAAGGGCTTCCGAGGGAGTGGGTGTTCCTTCGCCCAGACCCAGGCCCGCCAGGGAAGGGAGGCTGCAGGGATGTTGGGAGGGTGAGGGGTCGCAGAAGCAATTACGGAGGGTGTTGACTCTGTAAATAGGAACTTCCGACAGCAATAATTTTCCATGCATGCTAAGCCTTTTGGCCATATTTTGTATGAGCGCTTGGCGCGCCCCCTCCCCACTCACCCCCAACTCGCGCCCCAGACCCCCATCCCTTCCCCATCTCCAGCAGTATTACTTGTAACGCAATTCAGGGATATTAAAGGGACTTTGGCCACTCACCAGCGCCTCCAGACCTTGTGATGTGAAAGGGAGGTTGGGCAGGGGAGGGAAGAAGGGAGAGGGTATCTTAGAGGCAACTGGATTTTTCCACTCCATTGCTCTCCCAGTAGCCCGATCAGCCTGTAGCTGCCACCAGCGGTCATAAAGCCCCAGGGGTCCCTTGGCAGCCACAAGGTCCCAGGCATCCTCATTCCTAAATATCCCTCAAATACGGAGGTCAAAAACTCAAAAGGGTTCAACAACCAGATTAATAACATAAGTGAATGAAGCAGGTTGCCTCAAGACATTAAGGAGTGGTGGAACCTGTGGCTAATTAGTGTGTGTCTCACCTTAAGGTACTGCAATTCAAATGAACTACACCTACCAAACAAATACAACTGTGGGTAGATTTACCTCTTGAAAGCCAGTTTACAACTCCTACTTCGTTCTCCACTTCAGCCCCAATGGCTCTGTCCAGGGTTCTGGACAGTCTTACATGATCACGCATTCAAAGACCTGCGTGCAAAGTTTGACTTGGGCTCAGCGGGCAAAGCTGTCCAAAAACACTAAGCTGCTTCTAGAGTTAGTGAGCTCCTTCTCACCAAAAGTATTCAGGAAGATGCCGGACAACCAATCCATCCTCCTTGCCATCTGTCTTGGTGATCTTTCAAAATACAAATCTGTCCTTGCCTAACTCAAAACTTCACTGGGGACCACCAACACCATGGCACTTACTCCCAACAACAGAGAGGTGGGACCTGCAAGCTTTGAGGGTCGGATGCCATGCTGGGGGGTGGGGCTGCAGGCTGGAACTCCATCTCCCCTGCAGCTATCTTTCTGGTTTTTTCCTTACGTAAGCAAGGCACTCTGTTTTTTGACCCTCACCCTGGTGCCTGTCCACCTTTCCCTTCACGTGCCTTTGGACAAGAGACTTCATTCTGAGCAATTGCTAGGTGTCTCCAGCAGTGTCAGCAGCTTAAGTCTCCAGTGGCATTTTCAGAGGTCTAGGCACATTGTCCTCTGTGACTACAAACTGCTCCTGCCTGGCTGCTGCATCAGTTTCTTGTTTCAGACCCAGGAAACAGAAACCACTCTAGATCAGGGCTTGGGATTTTATAAACATCTAATTCTCTATATTAAATCCCTTTGAAGCAGAAAGGGATTTAATACAGGGAATTAAGTGCTGACAAAATTGGTGGAAGGGCTGCAGGTGGAATGGCTGGATCCCCAGAATACCACCGCAGAAGCAGTCCACTAGGCGAGCTGCTGCTTCCTCCACAAGCAGACAGTTGGGGGAATCAGGAGGCTGCACTGGAACCTACAGAGTTCCAGAACACAGAACTATAGCTGCAACCCAGGGATCAGAGACCCCTGCCGCTGCTGCTATAACTGCATCCTCTCACCCACTAATCTGGCTTGACACTGGAACACTGCTACAGAAAAGAAACTTACTACCACCACGACTATCTTGCCAAAAGCAAGTCAAAGCAGTAGAAAGATGACCCCTGCCATCAAAATCCCACAGAAGTGCATCTAACTGGCAGAACCTAAGTCACTGTCGGTACCCTTGCTGCAAGGAAGTCTGGGAAATGTAGTTTTTAACTCCCCAACCATGCAATATGGAAGGCACCCTAGGGGGAGCTGGGTATAGATGCTGAGTGCCTATCAACCATATCCATCCCAGTTGTTGTGGTCCACCATCTGTTCCCTCCTTCCTTGATTGGCAGCCATGCAGTTTGGGGACTGATCATCAGTTTAAGGAGTGATCTTGACTGATCTAAGAGCAATCCCATCTCCCATGGGGTTGGAAATGGGCCAATTCTGGCCAATGAGACTCAAGGAGAAGTTTGCTGGAAGATTCTGGGAAACTTTATTTCCTCCTCTCTTTTCAGAGAAAGGAAGCCAAGACTCTCTTTCCCCTGTACATGAACAAGGTTGACTGCTGTCTTGTAGCCATGAGGGAACCAGCCTCAGTGTGAAGCCCACACCTTAGATGGCAGAGCAGAGATATGGAAGCCTGTTGACTCGAAAGCAATGAATTTAGGTTTTTTATGGTTATCCTTGATGACATCAGGAAGACGCTGAGCCAACCACCCTGAAACCAACTCAATGTGCTGCCTCAGGACTTCCCAGTATATGACATGAGTGTCTTTATTGTTTAAGTCAGTTGAATCTGGTTTTCTGTTATCTGCAGCCCAGAGCACCTCAACTGGTGTATCAGTTCAGCCTGCTTTTCACAATTATCTAATAGGTCTTCAAGACCACCCACCAAGATTGTCTGACATTTCTCTGGTCACCTCACTCTCCAACTCTCCAAAATGACAATTCCAAACTTCCATTCTCCTCAAATTCCAAACCTTCCACCACCTCCCTACTCTCAGCAGGTAACCTCAAAAAATGGCTTCACCAAGAAAACAGAAGGCATTAGATGGAGAACAACCCCATCTTCCTAATGCCGTACGCAAAAGCCAACCTATAGATCCACCCACCCTCCATCCCTCTGATCCTGCTCTCTCCCCCTTTCTCTTATCCAAGGCAAGAAGGATTTAGTACAGGGTATTCGGTACTGGAGGAGCTGAAGAGCCAGCTCTAGGGTATGCTTTAGAAGCTAATAATTTCCATTAAAAAAAAATCCTTCTTTCACCAAAGGGGACATTCAAA